TTTGAATTCTTCATGGGTATGTTGCTACGTTTCTTTCTTTCACATATTACTATAGAATTGTTGGAATAAATGCATTTTTATATATGGTCAAGAAATTCTAGGCACTGGCAACATTTTTTATTTTGGTATTTTGCCCTTGCATAAACTAAAACGGCTGGGCTAAATAATATCAGCCCTGCACAATATAGCCCTTAACTCTTAGTTATCCTATCAACTTCTGTAACTAGTAGGATACAGTCTTCAAACTAATTTCAGGGAAAATGCCACTGGAAGTTGCCAACAATAGATTTTAGTTGTTAATGATACGAGAAATCATGTCGTCAACATTGGTTTTGAGAGTCTCAGAAGACTAGTTCAACGGTGACAGGGAAGGGAGGCTTGTAGCTTGTGTTTTATATTAAGTTATTGCATGCATGCTTTAGTCTTGGCTGAAAATGATTTGTCAGATTCCTTTAAAATTGAAGAATGGATTTAACTTATGACTTTCTCTGTAACTTTTGTGGCATTGTGATGTCATGCGAATATTTTAAAATTAACAGGCATTGATATTAAATATTGTCATTTGTATTGACGGAGAATTATTCATGAATCATGACCAGTTACAACATTTCATTGTGTGGGAATATAAATTATAATGTATAAACAATGAGGCATACATTTTAGATATTATCCATGGTGACACATTGACTGAATTTGGAATGTTTGAGCCTGGAAGAGCAGTGTCTTGTCCAATTTTGATCCTTCTATAACTACAACGACAAGTCCATGAGGCTGGGTGTTTCATGATGTACATAGTTATCAAAGCTGAAAGAAGGATGAAGTTAAGAATTCTTCTTGTGAAGTTATTGCTTAAAAGCATTCTTGACTTGACTGATATTATAATTGCTGGACGTAATAAAAGGGGTAAGGGAATCTTGGAGTGGTAGACCTTCTCCTAAAATATGTGTGGGGTCTAGTGATGGTTTGCCCTACTCTGTATAGGTTTGTCGTAGGCAGCTTTACCTTGCACTTGCAAAAGGCCGATTCCCAAAAAAATATAAATGTTGTGTTTAAATTTATAAACTAAGTATTTTTCAATAGCGAATGGTAGACAATTGATATTATATTATCTTGATAGGTGTAATGGTGTGAATTAGGATTGGTTTCATGGGTTGGCCCATATTTGTTTCGTTTTTATTCATAATTTTATTGATTTTCTGAATAACTTACTCTTGGCATTCTTTCTTTCCTTGGTTGTTCTATTTGTTGGTCGTTGATGTGCTAAACACAAGTTCAGATGATCTTCCATTGTGGGGTATGCCTACTTTCTCTCTATTTGATCTATCATTTCATTCGTTGATCATAGTATAAGATTCTTTTATTCATGTTTAAGGGTATGTTGGGGAGCTACATCCTGATAAGAACGGTGATAATGGCAAGCACGTACTTTATGCTCACAAAAACATCAATATTCAATACAATAAAGACCAGGTCAGAAGTTATTTAAGTATCTTTGCTATCTTTTTCTGTTTTGGGATTTATAGAGTGCACACTTAGGTCATTTATTGCAGATCATCCATGTTAATCTTACTCATGACAACCCAAGGCCTCTGGAAGTAGGAAAATCTCTGGACTTCACATATTCTGTGAAATGGACTCCTACAAATGTCACTTTTGCACGGCGATTTGATGTATACTTGGACTATCCATTCTTTGAGCATCAGGTGAAAATAATTGCTGCTAGATTTGTATTTTAGATTGAAGCGGTGTTTATTGTTGATTGCCGGCTATGTGTTGATTCGTGTATTAGCCATGTCACTGAGAGAGCTTTGATCCTTTTTCTTTCTGTAGATTCACTGGTTCTCCATTTTTAATTCTTTTATGATGGTCATCTTCCTTACTGGATTGGTGTCAATGATATTAATGCGAACTTTGAGAAATGACTATGCAAAGTATGCTCGGGAAGATGATGATTTGGAAACTTTGGTGAGAAATTCTGGATGTTTGTCTTTTACTACTATTGTTATTGTTATTATTTTTAAAACGTGGAACATAGGATGGCTTTCCTGGAAAATTCATTTTGCTTCTGATGTCAATTCTTGTGCAACCCCGAAATACTTCCAGGAACGAGATGTTAGTGAAGAATCTGGCTGGAAACTCGTGCATGGTGATGTTTTTAGGCCTCCTCGTAGTTTGGTTATTCTTTCAGCTGTTGTTGGCACAGGCGCTCAGCTTGCATTGCTGGTTCTTCTCGTCATCTTGTTGGCTATTGTTGGGATGTTGTATGTTGGGTAAGTCCATAAACTTAAACTAACTGTAATATTGATCTGAAAAATGATTTTGTTAATAATAGTGTGATTGCTTAAAAAGTGGAGTTAAATGTTAATAACTAGACATTCCTTTAGTTTCCCCCCTGATTATACTTTTTATCCACTTCTTCTCCCTTCATTATTATGTGAGGTTCATTCACTGTGCAGACGAGGAGCCATAGTCACGACCTTCATTGTATGCTATGCACTCACATCTTTCATTTCTGGTTATGTGAGTGGGGGGATGTACTCACGAAATGGGGGTAAGAATTTGCAGTGAACTATACCACATGTTCTCTGTGTTTCTGTTGCCTCTTGATCTCTCCATGAACGATTATAACTGTCATTTTCAGGTAAAAGTTGGATTAAATCCATGATCCTGACAGCATCACTGTTCCCATTCATGTGCTTTGGAATTGGTTTTATTTTAAACACAGTTGCTATATTCTATGGATCACTAGCTGCCATCCCCTTTGGTACTATGGTTGTTGTGTTTGTTATATGGGCTTTTATCTCTTTCCCTCTAGCACTTCTTGGTACAGTTGTTGGAAGAAACTGGAGTGGTGCTCCAAATAATCCATGCCGTGTGAAGACCATTCCTCGTCCCATTCCTGAGAAAAAGTGGTACCTCACACCATCCGTAGTTTCTCTGATGGGAGGACTGCTTCCCTTTGGCAGCATATTCATCGAGATGTATTTTGTGTTCACTTCCTTCTGGAACTACAAGGTGAATTAAAATGCAATTACTTCTTTTGGCAGTAAGCGTTTTTGTTTTTTCTTCCTTGGTTTTGTGTAAGGTTTACTTATATTTTATTAGAACAAGTAGTTATTTCTTTATAACAAAAAATATCTATATATTGTCTTTCAACTGATAACTCTTAATATTCCTGTGATAGTCGAGTAAATACATGCTATGTTTCTTATGCGTTTTTCCCCTTCCACTTTGACAAACAGGTGTACTATGTATATGGCTTCATGCTACTGGTTTTTCTGATTCTTATCATTGTTACTGTTTGTGTGACAATTGTGGGGACATACTTTTTGTTAAACGCTGAGAACTACCACTGGCAATGGACTTCTTTCTTTTCAGCTGCCTCAACAGCTGTTTACGTGTATTTGTACTCAGTATACTACTACTATGTGAAGACGAAGATGTCAGGCTTTTTCCAAACCAGCTTTTATTTTGGATACACTTTGATGTTCTGTCTTGGACTGGGAATTCTCTGTGGTAAGTCTCCAGTTTAATTGTAATCTCTGTTTGGCTTCTCTGACTACTTATTATTTAGATATAAAAGCTAGTGTGTTCTTATCGCCTGAGTTGGCTTAAATTTTTTCTCCAAATATGCAGGAGCTGTAGGTTATCTTGGTTCGAATTTATTTGTGAGGAGGATCTACAGAAACATCAAGTGTGATTAAGTCTTTTCTAGAAGTCTGAGACCAGAGCAGTTCCATATGTTTGTTGCTGGACACAATAAATTTCTTCGAGGAGGCCTCTGGTCATGTGTGGGGACCAAGCAGTGTTTACAGGTAGTAAGTTTCACAGGGTTGAGGATGAGATGTATTCTTTCTCTATATTAGGGCATGTATTCTTTAGGGAAGCCCTGAGATTTTTTTTCCCTGACTTGATTGAAAGCCTTGATTAGAATGCAGGGATTGGTCTTTATAATTTAGATAGTTAGCAAAATATCAGACTCGTTGCTCTACTTTTTTCATCCTTTTATAAATAGGTGCCCTATTGACGGACTGATGTCGGATTCCCCTACACGGTTTAGCTATTGTACGTAGAGGGGATGAAGTCACGGAAATGAATTTTGTGCTTCTGAATTTTGTATCAAATCTGAATATCCTTTCTAACTACTTGCCTGCATAACTCTCCTTGTTTGACATTTAAGTCATTGACGTTTTGCCCCTCTCCATTACTTGTTATGCTGCATGCATTTCTGCCCGTGTCAAGGGGTGTGTAGACACGAACTTAACCATGAATAAATGGGATGAACATTTTGTGCATCTGCATACTCGGTTTCTTAACGGTGCTTTGATTTGGTAGTTTTCTGTTTCTTTTGGAGTTTTTTTTTTGGGCTGTAAAATGCATCACAGCAAGGATAAAATGTTCAGTGTTTGAGTGGAGCACTTTCAAAATTGAGTACCAATGAAATTGATTTTGGGTTGAAATCAATTAATTTTTATTTTAAAAGTTAGTAGTAAAAATTTAGTGTGTGTGTATATATGTATATACTATCCAATCGAAAGGTTATTCAACGTTGTTTTTAACTCAATGTGGTTTCACCTAATTTAGCGTGAATTAAAGAAAAAAATACTCGATGGCTTTTGGGACAAAAGATCTTGCTCCGTTTCCGCTACGTTGGAGGTTCCAGTGTTAAGCATAAGCACACCATTTTCAGCTGTCAAATTAGATGTGGTTAGAGTGAAAAATAAACAAATTTTCCCAATTGATTGTGTATTTAAAGGTGTTGGTTTCAATACACGACTTCTAAGTAGCCAACCTCAGAAGTAGCATTGCATTGAGGACCGCAAACAGGGCTCCGTAAAAGTACTGATGGAAAAAAAATCGATTAAAATGATGGAAAAGTATAATTTATGAGGTGAGGATAATTCCACCTACCATCATGAACAACGAGTGGTGACGATAGAGATAAGATAGATTGAGGCATGAAGCAAAGCCACGTGGCCGACTGGTAGCATATCAGCTAACGTTGGTGCTCGTTGCAACCACACTATTTCCACAAGCTCTCTCCCTGTTTCTTATCATTAAGAAGAAGCAGAGCATCAGGAGTTGGTAAAGTAGCCTTCTACTCCTAAACTCAAACACGGAAATGGCCACCGCACCCGCTTTATGTGGCTCTGTGTTGAACACCTCTTTTCTCAGGAAGCAGCCTGTGATCAGCACAAGCCTGAAGTCATTCCCAAACGCTAACGCCATGTTCGGTGTGGAAGGAGGACGTGGAGGTCGTGTGACTGCCATGGCCGCTTACAAGGTGAAGCTGATCACCCCAGAGGGAGAGAAAGAGTTCGAATGCCCAGATGATGAATACATTCTTGATGTTGCAGAGAACCTAGGCCTTGACCTTCCCTACTCATGCAGGGCTGGTTCTTGCTCTTCCTGTGCCGGCAAAGTTGTCGCCGGCAAAGTCGACCAGTCAGACGGTAACTACCTTGATGACGACCAAATTGGTGAAGGCTTTGTTCTCACCTGCGTTGCTTACCCAACCTCCGATCTTGTTATCGAAACCCACAAGGAGGAAGACCTCGTTGCTTAAATCTTATCATCATCGCTGCCTCTACTTTATTAAGTTTCTTCCTTTCCCAGCTCCATCATGTGTGCTGCCTTTTCTTTATCTCTCGTGCCATTTCTGAGGATAGACACACCCATTATGCTTTATTACGTACGATAAGTAGCTTGTTATGCAGTAATGTAATTCATTACTTCCCCTGTATTAGCACCTCAACATGTTTTTTTGTTAACTATAATAATCTTTTCCTTACAGTTTTTGCATGCAATTTCTTTTCCACTTTCGCGGCCTTCAATGACTGATTACTACCTTTTATGACCGCAAATTGGATCTTGTCATTCTATCCGTTTTAACATTTTATGGGATTGGATTCATGAATTTATGAAAATAAATACTACCACAGTTTTACACATCAATCTGTGCAAATACAAAAAAAAAAAAAGTTTTCCATTGCTCAATTAACAATACATATAATATTTATAAGCAAAACAGATAGAAGTGCAACTCAAACATACTTGCTTGTTTACGTTTTCACGCTCCCAACATTTTTATATTTATGATTTTATCATTCTCTTTTTGGGGTGAAAGAGTGAATATCTCTAGCAGAGAAGAAAATGGATAAATCCCACACAAACTACTATCTGATACGCCTTTCTGTATATATCAATCCAAGATGTTGGAACAAAGATTTGTAACTATTAAAAATGGTTTTCTTTTATTCAAGTTAAAATATCACACTTGTGAAGGGAGAGATAAATGAAATAAACTAAGAGTTAAAACGAGGTTCTGTTATTCAAGTAAAGGTTAGAAGTAATTTCAAATCTTTCGTAGTAGCAAAGAATCCACTAAAAAAATGCAGATGACAGATTCACTGCCATTGAAGTATTTGAACTTATTGTATAATAACAATATTTTAATGTTTAAAAGCCGTAAAAGAAGAGTATGAATGGATAAGATGTGCATAGAAGAACAATGTGATGATAGTTTTCAAGTGGAAGCCTGGATTGTGAACAATCTGTGGAGATAACAGAGGCACACAGATTGAGGTACGTGAGGTTGCATGCGACCAAGATATGGTGATAACAATCGTGAGAACCAGTTGTGATAAAGCCACGTGGCAGTGGGGTTGCATGTGAAGTTGGTGATGGTTGTAATCACAAGCTCCTTATCGTTATCACCAAAGAACAAGAAAAATCCATCAACTTTGCAAGCAAGAGGAGAATGGCGTCGATTCATGTGGCAGTGTTGAACACCTCATTCTTCTGGAAACAGCCAGTCCTGAAGGCATTCCCGAACGCTAACGCCATGTTTGGTGTGAAAGGAGGAAGTGAGGGTCGTGTGAGTGCCATGGCCAGTTACAAGGTGAAGCTGATCACACCAGAAGGAGACAAAGAATTTGAATGCCCAGATGATGCTTACATTCTTGACCATGCTGAGGAAATAGGCATTGATCTTCCTCACTCGTGCAGGGCTGGTGCTTGTTCTAGCTGTGCTGGCAAAGTTGTGGCTGGCCAAGTGGACCAGACAGATGGTAGTTTCCTTGATGAAACTCAAGAGAGTGAAGGCTTTGTTCTCACCTGCATCGCTTACCCCACTTCAGATGTTGTTATTCTCACTCACAAGGAGGAGGAACTCACTGCCACTGCTTGACTCATTCAGTTTCTTCCTTTCTTTTCTGTCTTGTTCCATTTTCTCAGGATTTGACTATATATATCATGTTTCATTTTTTGTTGTGTTGGAAGTTTCACGTCGACGAGAGATAAGATCAATCTATAATATATAAATAGATACAAACCTCGTCTTACAAGTCGGTTTTGTGGAGTTGAATTAGGCTGAAAGTCCACCTCTTAACATTTGCTTTATGATCGGCAACTTATCATGCAATTTTGTGCCTTGATGCTGACTTGCATTGTAGCTTCTTATCTTAGTTGTTATAGAAGATGATTTCATGCATTGTGTGGCCAAAATTTTAACTTTCATATCACTTAAAAATGAGAGATGATATCTGATTGTGTCTGCTGCACTAGGTAGATTCCACTTGTGATAAAAGAATTGAAGCAGGCTAAGGATATGGAATGGGAGGCATTAGAGAAAAGAAAAACATTGTAGTTGAATTCCTTGCCAAAATTAAGGAATGAAGTCAATCAAATGCAAATGGTTATATTCACACTTTTGTGTTTTCTTTCTGTTCTACCTTTTACTTTTCCCTAGTATTGCCAGAATCAGTCATGTGAACTGCATAAGGTTAGACCATTTGAAGACAGATCCTTTCTCATTGATGCTGCAGATGCATAAATGTCAAACGCTAAAACATAGATAGAGGGTTCATCAAGTTCCACATTTAGAAGAACGTTTCACAAACATACCCAAAATATTCACATTCTTCCTCTTCCAAGCCATGAAACATATTGTTGGGAATGCAAATATGAGTCCAAGTTCCGTATAAAAATGAAAAAGTAGAACATTATATAAAAGTGAAAGATTCAATAATCCATTGACTTAAGGTTCTTGGTAAAGAATGGTGTCAATCCCTTATGTGGTTGGACTTAGATCTTATTGATGTTTATATCTCTTCCTGAACCTCATTCTCACTGGACCTAAAAGTGCACGACAGTACGAATGGCCTTAAGATTTTGGATAAACCCAACACATATAGCCACATATCATAGGGTCCATGTCTTGTAAATCAGTTCATCCATTGTCTTTACTCCTCTGTTTGGATCAAGTAATTGACCAATTTTGTACTTCAATTCTTCATGGAATTCCATTTGATTTCTTGGCGTTATCTTTAAGGTAGCTGTTCCTTGTTTGATCCTAACACACTGTCATCTTCAAAAGAACTTTTACTGAGGTCCATACTTCTTCAGGGAAACTCAAAGGTCCTTAATCATATGATATGCATCCTGAACAGATTCTTGGTTCAAGAAGTTCTCCATGTTCCAGAAATCACAGCAAAGGCTCCCCCTCAAACTTTTTTCTGCTGCACAGTAGTACCGCAACACAAGTATTAGAAGGAAGACTTATAAAGTTATCTGAGCAAATAGTCAACAATGGAAATCTGCTTACAGATATTGAATTTGCAAGGGAATAAATGGAAGAATATTTCTTGAACCTTACCCTGAAGAAAACTCAACAACTTGAGAAGTGTAAAACAGCTGGAATAAATACTTGAAATAAGATTGTTTAAGTAATAAAAGTGTTTCCAAATTAATCTTTATTACTGATGAAGTAAGAATTTATGAAGTAGTTGAAGTGAGCAGAAGGAAAACATGGTAATAATAGAGTAATGATACAATTAGAGCGGTCAAAATTAGAGCGGTCATAACCTACGGGCTAACTTAGTCCGCCACGGGGTTTGAATTGGGATGAATTTGAAAAAACGGTTCATGCGGATTGAATCCGTGGTATGTCGGGTTGGCCCACCAACCTATTTACCTAATTTTATTTTATTAAAATTTAATTTTAATTTTATAAAAAAATATTTATTATTTTGTTTTTGTTTGAAAAAATTATTTAAGTTCCTTATTTTCAAAATTAATTAAACACCATTGGGAGTAAAATTTGGAAGTGAAATTTGTTTAAATTTAAATTATAAAAATTTGTAATTTTTTTTATTTAAAAAAAATTGTAATTATGTGAGCCACAGTGAGTCAACCCGTTTACCCACTAACCCGTGGTGGGTTAGGCCGGGTTCGAATTTTTTTAACTTACTAATAAATGAGTCGGGTTAGGTTGGCTCACTAAGTGACCAACCCGTGATGGACCGGGTCGAGTCGAGTCGGGTGGCTCGTTTTGACAGCTCTAGATACAATCACACATATTTACATTCATTTAACACAAGTAAAATGATTATAAAAAGATATTGTTTGACACACCTAAATTTGTTATTTGACCCTATCCTTGTTTAGTTTTTTTAGAAAAAATATAAAAGTGCATGCTTTTATGATTATTTTATCTTTGTATTTTATGTCAAATGAATATAAAAGTGTGTCATGATATTATTCTTTTATGAAAAATTGACTTTTCATGGCTTTTCGAAAAGGAAAAAAAAATAGTATCAAATTAATGTAAAAAATCATGTATGTCAAAAAAATTATTTTTGTAACTATTATAATATATTAACAACTTTTTTAACAATTTTTTTAACAATTATTTTACAACTTTTTTAACAATTTTTTTACAATAGATTGTGTTACTATTTTATTAACAAGTATATTCGAAAGCGACATCCACGCACCATTTTAAAAAACTTCTAAAATAAAATATTTCTAAAAATCATTTTCATTCTCTTAATAATAATGTGGTGATAAAAGGTAGATTGAAGCCTAGAAGAGTGACACGTGGCAGATAAGGTTGCATGTGATTTCACGTCATTTCATTGATTTATGTATCAGAGAGAAGAAGAAGAGAAAGAAGAAGAAGGAAAGAAGCAGCAAGAAGAGATATTTATAAGTTTGAACAGAAAGAGGAGAATGGCAGCTCTGTGTGGCCCTGCGTTGAACAGCTCCTTCCTGAGGAAGCAAGCAGTGAACACGTCAAGCATGAAGGCATTCGAAAACGCCAACGCCGTGTTTGGTGTGAAAGAAGGACGAGGTGGTCGTGTGACTGCCATGGCCACTTACAAGGTGAAGCTGATCACCCCCTCGGGAGAGAAAGAGATAAAATGCTCAGATGAAGAATACATTCTTGATGCTGCAGAAGAACAAGGCCTTGACCTNTTGCTCAATTAACAATACATATAATATTTATAAGCAAAACAGATAGAAGTGCAACTCAAACATACTTGCTTGTTTACGTTTTCACGCTCCCAACATTTTTATATTTATGATTTTATCATTCTCTTTTTGGGGTGAAAGAGTGAATATCTCTAGCAGAGAAGAAAATGGATAAATCCCACACAAACTACTATCTGATACGCCTTTCTGTATATATCAATCCAAGATGTTGGAACAAAGATTTGTAACTATTAAAAATGGTTTTCTTTTATTCAAGTTAAAATATCACACTTGTGAAGGGAGAGATAAATGAAATAAACTAAGAGTTAAAACGAGGTTCTGTTATTCAAGTAAAGGTTAGAAGTAATTTCAAATCTTTCGTAGTAGCAAAGAATCCACTAAAAAAATGCAGATGACAGATTCACTGCCATTGAAGTATTTGAACTTATTGTATAATAACAATATTTTAATGTTTAAAAGCCGTAAAAGAAGAGTATGAATGGATAAGATGTGCATAGAAGAACAATGTGATGATAGTTTTCAAGTGGAAGCCTGGATTGTGAACAATCTGTGGAGATAACAGAGGCACACAGATTGAGGTACGTGAGGTTGCATGCGACCAAGATATGGTGATAACAATCGTGAGAACCAGTTGTGATAAAGCCACGTGGCAGTGGGGTTGCATGTGAAGTTGGTGATGGTTGTAATCACAAGCTCCTTATCGTTATCACCAAAGAACAAGAAAAATCCATCAACTTTGCAAGCAAGAGGAGAATGGCGTTGATTCATGTGGCAGTGTTGAACACCTCATTCTTCTGGAAACAGCCAGTCCTGAAGGCATTCCCGAACGCTAACGCCATGTTTGGTGTGAAAGGAGGAAGTGAGGGTCGTGTGAGTGCCATGGCCAGTTACAAGGTGAAGCTGATCACACCAGAAGGAGACAAAGAATTTGAATGCCCAGATGATGCTTACATTCTTGACCATGCTGAGGAAATAGGCATTGATCTTCCTCACTCGTGCAGGGCTGGTGCTTGTTCTAGCTGTGCTGGCAAAGTTGTGGCTGGCCAAGTGGACCAGACAGATGGTAGTTTCCTTGATGAAACTCAAGAGAGTGAAGGCTTTGTTCTCACCTGCATCGCTTACCCCACTTCAGATGTTGTTATTCTCACTCACAAGGAGGAGGAACTCACTGCCACTGCTTGACTCATTCAGTTTCTTCCTTTCTTTTCTGTCTTGTTCCATTTTCTCAGGATTTGACTATATATATCATGTTTCATTTTTTGTTGTGTTGGAAGTTTCACGTCGACGAGAGATAAGATCAATCTATAATATATAAATAGATACAAACCTCGTCTTACAAGTCGGTTTTGTGGAGTTGAATTAGGCTGAAAGTCCACCTCTTAACATTTGCTTTATGATCGGCAACTTATCATGCAATTTTGTGCCTTGATGCTGACTTGCATTGTAGCTTCTTATCTTAGTTGTTATAGAAGATGATTTCATGCATTGTGTGGCCAAAATTTTAACTTTCATATCACTTAAAAATGAGAGATGATATCTGATTGTGTCTGCTGCACTAGGTAGATTCCACTTGTGATAAAAGAATTGAAGCAGGCTAAGGATATGGAATGGGAGGCATTAGAGAAAAGAAAAACATTGTAGTTGAATTCCTTGCCAAAATTAAGGAATGAAGTCAATCAAATGCAAATGGTTATATTCACACTTTTGTGTTTTCTTTCTGTTCTACCTTTTACTTTTCCCTAGTATTGCCAGAATCAGTCATGTGAACTGCATAAGGTTAGACCATTTGAAGACAGATCCTTTCTCATTGATGCTGCAGATGCATAAATGTCAAACGCTAAAACATAGATAGAGGGTTCATCAAGTTCCACATTTAGAAGAACGTTTCACAAACATACCCAAAATATTCACATTCTTCCTCTTCCAAGCCATGAAACATATTGTTGGGAATGCAAATATGAGTCCAAGTTCCGTATAAAAATGAAAAAGTAGAACATTATATAAAAGTGAAAGATTCAATAATCCATTGACTTAAGGTTCTTGGTAAAGAATGGTGTCAATCCCTTATGTGGTTGGACTTAGATCTTATTGATGTTTATATCTCTTCCTGAACCTCATTCTCACTGGACCTAAAAGTGCACGACAGTACGAATGGCCTTAAGATTTTGGATAAACCCAACACATATAGCCACATATCATAGGGTCCATGTCTTGTAAATCAGTTCATCCATTGTCTTTACTCCTCTGTTTGGATCAAGTAATTGACCAATTTTGTACTTCAATTCTTCATGGAATTCCATTTGATTTCTTGGCGTTATCTTTAAGGTAGCTGTTCCTTGTTTGATCCTAACACACTGTCATCTTCAAAAGAACTTTTACTGAGGTCCATACTTCTTCATGGAAACTCAAAGGTCCTTAATTATATGATATGCATCCTGAACAGATTCTTGGTTCAAGAAGTTCTCCATGTTCCAGAAATCACAGCAAAGGCTCCCCCTCAAACTTTTTTCTGCTGCACAGTAGTACCGCAACACAAGTATTAGAAGGAAGACTTATAATGTTATCTGAGCAAATAGTCAACAATGGAAATCTGCTTACAGATATTGAATTTGCAAGGGAATAAATGGAAGAATATTTCTTGAACCTTACCCTGAAGAAAACTCAACAACTTGAGAAGTGTAAAACAGCTGGAATAAATANCACAAGCCTGAAGTCATTCCCAAACGCTAACGCCATGTTCGGTGTGGAAGGAGGACGTGGAGGTCGTGTGACTGCCATGGCCGCTTACAAGGTGAAGCTGATCACCCCAGAGGGAGAGAAAGAGTTCGAATGCCCAGATGATGAATACATTCTTGATGTTGCAGAGAACCTAGGCCTTGACCTTCCCTACTCATGCAGGGCTGGTTCTTGCTCTTCCTGTGCCGGCAAAGTTGTCGCCGGCAAAGTCGACCAGTCAGACGGTAACTTCCTTGATGACGACCAAATTGGTGAAGGCTTTGTTCTCACCTGCGTTGCTTACCCAACCTCCGATCTTGTTATCGAAACCCACAAGGAGGAAGACCTCGTTGCTTAAATCTTATCATCATCGCTGCCTCTACTTTATTAAGTTTCTTCCTTTCCCAGCTCCATCATGTGTGCTGCCTTTTCTTTATCTCTCTTGCCATTTCTGAGGATAGACACACCCATTATGCTTTATTACGTACGATAAGTAGCTTGTTATGCAGTAATGTAATTCATTACTTCCCCTGTATTAGCACCTCAACATGTTTTTTTGTTAACTATAATAATCTTTTCCTTACAGTTTTTGCATGCAATTTCTTTTCCACTTTCGCGGCCTTCAATGACTGATTACTACCTTTTATGACCGCAAATTGGATCTTGTCATTCTATCCGTTTTAACATTTTATGGGATTGGATTCATGAATTTATGAAAATAAATACTACCACAGTTTTACACATCAATCTGTGCAAATACAAAAAAAAAAAAAGTTTTCCATTGCTCAATTAACAATACATATAATATTTATAAGCAAAACAGATAGAAGTGCAACTCAAACATACTTGCTTGTTTACGTTTTCACGCTCCCAACATTTTTATATTTATGATTTTATCATTCTCTTTTTGGGGTGAAAGAGTGAATATCTCTAGCAGAGAAGAAAATGGATAAATCCCACACAAACTACTATCTGATACGCCTTTCTGTATATATCAATCCAAGATGTTGGAACAAAGATTTGTAACTATTAAAAATGGTTTTCTTTTATTCAAGTTAAAATATCACACTTGTGAAGGGAGAGATAAATGAAATAAACTAAGAGTTAAAACGAGGTTCTGTTATTCAAGTAAAGGTTAGAAGTAATTTCAAATCTTTCGTAGTAGCAAAGAATCCACTAAAAAAATGCAGATGACAGATTCACTGCCATTGAAGTATTTGAACTTATTGTATAATAACAATATTTTAATGTTTAAAAGCCGTAAAAGAAGAGTATGAATGGATAAGATTTGCATAGAAGAACAATGTGATGATAGTTTTCAAGTGGAAGCCTGGATTGTGAACAATCTGTGGAGATAACAGAGGCACACAGATTGAGGTACGTGAGGTTGCATGCGACCAAGATATGGTGATAACAATCGTGAGAACCAGTTGTGATAAAGCCACGTGGCAGTGGGGTTGCATGTGAAGTTGGTGATGGTTGTAATCACAAGCTCCTTATCGTTATCACCAAAGAACAAGAAAAATCCATCAACTTTGCAAGCAAGAGGAGAATGGCGTTGATTCATGTGGCATTGTTGAACACCTCATTCTTCTGGAAACAGCCAGTCCTGAAGGCATTCCCGAACGCTAACGCCATGTTTGGTGTGAAAGGAGGAAGTGAGGGTCGTGTGAGTGCCATGGCCAGTTACAAGGTGAAGCTGATCACACCAGAAGGAGACAAAGAATTTGAATGCCCAGATGATGCTTACATTCTTGACCATGCTGAGGAAATAGGCATTGATCTTCCTCACTCGTGCAGGGCTGGTGCTTGTTCTAGCTGTGCTGGCAAAGTTGTGGCTGGCCAAGTGGACCAGACAGATGGTAGTTTCCTTGATGAAACTCAAGAGAGTGAAGGCTTTGTTCTCACCTGCATCGCTTACCCCACTTCAGATGTTGTTATTCTCACTCACAAGGAGGAGGAACTCACTGCCACTGCTTGACTCATTCAGTTTCTTCCTTTCTTTTCTGTCTTGTTCCATTTTCTCAGGATTTGACTATATATATCATGTTTCATTTTTTGTTGTGTTGGAAGTTTCACGTCGACGAGAGATAAGATCAATCTATAATATATAAATAGATACAAACCTCGTCTTACAAGTCGGTTTTGTGGAGTTGAATTAGGCTGAAAGTCCACCTCTTAACATTTGCTTTATGATCGGCAACTTATCATGCAATTTTGTGCCTTGATGCTGACTTGCATTGTAGCTTCTTATCTTAGTTGTTATAGAAGATGATTTCATGCATTGTGTGGCCAAAATTTTAACTTTCATATCACTTAAAAATGAGAGATGATATCTGATTGTGTCTGCTGCACTAGGTAGATTCCACTTGTGATAAAAGAATTGAAGCAGGCTAAGGATATGGAATGGGAGGCATTAGAGAAAAGAAAAACATTGTAGTTGAATTCCTTGCCAAAATTAAGGAATGAAGTCAATCAAATGCAAATGGTTATATTCACACTTTTGTGTTTTCTTTCTGTTCTACCTTTTACTTTTCCCTAGTATTGCCAGAATCAGTCATGTGAACTGCATAAGGTTAGACCATTTGAAGACAGATCCTTTCTCATTGATGCTGCAGATGCATAAATGTCAAACGCTAAAACATAGATAGAGGGTTCATCAAGTTCCACATTTAGAAGAACGTTTCACAAACATACCCAAAATATTCACATTCTTCCTCTTCCAAGCCATGAAACATATTGTTGGGAATGCAAATATGAGTCCAAGTTCCGTATAAAAATGAAAAAGTAGAACATTATATAAAAGTGAAAGATTCAATAATCCATTGACTTAAGGTTCTTGGTAAAGAATGGTGTCAATCCCTTATGTGGTTGGACTTAGATCTTATTGATGTTTATATCTCTTCCTGAACCTCATTCTCACTGGACCTAAAAGTGCACGACAGTACGAATGGCCTTAAGATTTTGGATAAACCCAACACATATAGCCACATATCATAGGGTCCATGTCTTGTAAATCAGTTCATCCATTGTCTTTACTCCTCTGTTTGGATCAAGTAATTGACCAATTTTGTACTTCAATTCTTCATGGAATTCCATTTGATTTCTTGGCGTTATCTTTAAGGTAGCTGTTCCTTGTTTGATCCTAACACACTGTCATCTTCAAAAGAACTTTTACTGAGGTCCATACTTCTTCAGGGAAACTCAAAGGTCCTTAATCATATGATATGCATCCTGAACAGATTCTTGGTTCAAGAAGTTCTCCATGTTCCAGAAATCACAGCAAAGGCTCCCCCTCAAACTTTTTTCTGCTGCACAGTAGTACCGCAACACAAGTATTAGAAGGAAGACTTATAAAGTTATCTGAGCAAATAGTCAACAATGGAAATCTGCTTACAGATATTGAATTTGCAAGGGAATAAATGGAAGAATATTTCTTGAACCTTACCCTGAAGAAAACTCAACAACTTGAGAAGTGTAAAACAGCTGGAATAAATACTTGAAATAAGATTGTTTAAGTAATAAAAGTGTTTCCAAATTAATCTTTATTACTGATGAAGTAAGAATTTATGAAGTAGTTGAAGTGAGCAGAAGGAAAACATGGTAATAATAGAGTAATGATACAATTAGAGCGGTCAAAATTAGAGCGGTCATAACCTACGGGCTAACTTAGTCCGCCACGGGGTTTGAATTGGGATGAATTTGAAAAAACGGTTCATGCGGATTGAATCCGTGGTATGTCGGGTTGGCCCACCAACCTATTTACCTAATTTTATTTTATTAAAATTTAATTTTAATTTTATAAAAAAATATTTATTATTTTGTTTTTGTTTGAAAAAATTATTTAAGTTCCTTATTTTCAAAATTAATTAAACACCATTGGGAGTAAAATTTGGAAGTGAAATTTGTTTAAATTTAAATTATAAAAATTTGTAATTTTTTTTATTTAAAAAAAATTGTAATTATGTGAGCCACAGTGAGTCAACCCGTTTACCCACTAACCCGTGGTGGGTTAGGCCGGGTTCGAATTTTTTTAACTTACTAATAAATGAGTCGGGTTAGGTTGGCTCACTAAGTGACCAACCCGTGATGGACCGGGTCGAGTCGAGTCGGGTGGCTCGTTTTGACAGCTCTAGATACAATCACACATATTTACATTCATTTAACACAAGTAAAATGATTATAAAAAGATATTGTTTGACACACCTAAATTTGTTATTTGACCCTATCCTTGTTTAGTTTTTTTAGAAAAAATATAAAAGTGCATGCTTTTATGATTATTTTATCTTTGTATTTTATGTCAAATGAATATAAAAGTGTGTCATGATATTATTCTTTTATGAAAAATTGACTTTTCATGGCTTTTCGAAAAGGAANTTGCTCAATTAACAATACATATAATATTTATAAGCAAAACAGATAGAAGTGCAACTCAAACATACTTGCTTGTTTACGTTTTCACGCTCCCAACATTTTTATATTTATGATTTTATCATTCTCTTTTTGGGGTGAAAGAGTGAATATCTCTAGCAGAGAAGAAAATGGATAAATCCCACACAAACTACTATCTGATACGCCTTTCTGTATATATCAATCCAAGATGTTGGAACAAAGATTTGTAACTATTAAAAATGGTTTTCTTTTATTCAAGTTAAAATATCACACTTGTGAAGGGAGAGATAAATGAAATAAACTAAGAGTTAAAACGAGGTTCTGTTATTCAAGTAAAGGTTAGAAGTAATTTCAAATCTTTCGTAGTAGCAAAGAATCCACTAAAAAAATGCAGATGACAGATTCACTGCCATTGAAGTATTTGAACTTATTGTATAATAACAATATTTTAATGTTTAAAAGCCGTAAAAGAAGAGTATGAATGGATAAGATGTGCATAGAAGAACAATGTGATGATAGTTTTCAAGTGGAAGCCTGGATTGTGAACAATCTGTGGAGATAACAGAGGCACACAGATTGAGGTACGTGAGGTTGCATGCGACCAAGATATGGTGATAACAATCGTGAGAACCAGTTGTGATAAAGCCACGTGGCAGTGGGGTTGCATGTGAAGTTGGTGATGGTTGTAATCACAAGCTCCTTATCGTTATCACCAAAGAACAAGAAAAATCCATCAACTTTGCAAGCAAGAGGAGAATGGCGTTGATTCATGTGGCAGTGTTGAACACCTCATTCTTCTGGAAACAGCCAGTCCTGAAGGCATTCCCGAACGCTAACGCCATGTTTGGTGTGAAAGGAGGAAGTGAGGGTCGTGTGAGTGCCATGGCCAGTTACAAGGTGAAGCTGATCACACCAGAAGGAGACAAAGAATTTGAATGCCCAGATGATGCTTACATTCTTGACCATGCTGAGGAAATAGGCATTGATCTTCCTCACTCGTGCAGGGCTGGTGCTTGTTCTAGCTGTGCTGGCAAAGTTGTGGCTGGCCAAGTGGACCAGACAGATGGTAGTTTCCTTGATGAAACTCAAGAGAGTGAAGGCTTTGTTCTCACCTGCATCGCTTACCCCACTTCAGATGTTGTTATTCTCACTCACAAGGAGGAGGAACTCACTGCCACTGCTTGACTCATTCAGTTTCTTCCTTTCTTTTCTGTCTTGTTCCATTTTCTCAGGATTTGACTATATATATCATGTTTCATTTTTTGTTGTGTTGGAAGTTTCACGTCGACGAGAGATAAGATCAATCTATAATATATAAATAGATACAAACCTCGTCTTACAAGTCGGTTTTGTGGAGTTGAATTAGGCTGAAAGTCCACCTCTTAACATTTGCTTTATGATCGGCAACTTATCATGCAATTTTGTGCCTTGATGCTGACTTGCATTGTAGCTTCTTATCTTAGTTGTTATAGAAGATGATTTCATGCATTGTGTGGCCAAAATTTTAACTTTCATATCACTTAAAAATGAGAGATGATATCTGATTGTGTCTGCTGCACTAGGTAGATTCCACTTGTGATAAAAGAATTGAAGCAGGCTAAGGATATGGAATGGGAGGCATTAGAGAAAAGAAAAACATTGTAGTTGAATTCCTTGCCAAAATTAAGGAATGAAGTCAATCAAATGCAAATGGTTATATTCACACTTTTGTGTTTTCTTTCTGTTCTACCTTTTACTTTTCCCTAGTATTGCCAGAATCAGTCATGTGAACTGCATAAGGTTAGACCATTTGAAGACAGATCCTTTCTCATTGATGCTGCAGATGCATAAATGTCAAACGCTAAAACATAGATAGAGGGTTCATCAAGTTCCACATTTAGAAGAACGTTTCACAAACATACCCAAAATATTCACATTCTTCCTCTTCCAAGCCATGAAACATATTGTTGGGAATGCAAATATGAGTCCAAGTTCCGTATAAAAATGAAAAAGTAGAACATTATATAAAAGTGAAAGATTCAATAATCCATTGACTTAAGGTTCTTGGTAAAGAATGGTGTCAATCCCTTATGTGGTTGGACTTAGATCTTATTGATGTTTATATCTCTTCCTGAACCTCATTCTCACTGGACCTAAAAGTGCACGACAGTACGAATGGCCTTAAGATTTTGGATAAACCCAACACATATAGCCACATATCATAGGGTCCATGTCTTGTAAATCAGTTCATCCATTGTCTTTACTCCTCTGTTTGGATCAAGTAATTGACCAATTTTGTACTTCAATTCTTCATGGAATTCCATTTGATTTCTTGGCGTTATCTTTAAGGTAGCTGTTCCTTGTTTGATCCTAACACACTGTCATCTTCAAAAGAACTTTTACTGAGGTCCATACTTCTTCAGGGAAACTCAAAGGTCCTTAATCATATGATATGCATCCTGAACAGATTCTTGGTTCAAGAAGTTCTCCATGTTCCAGAAATCACAGCAAAGGCTCCCCCTCAAACTTTTTTCTGCTGCACAGTAGTACCGCAACACAAGTATTAGAAGGAAGACTTATAAAGTTATCTGAGCAAATAGTCAACAATGGAAATCTGCTTACAGATATTGAATTTGCAAGGGAATAAATGGAAGAATATTTCTTGAACCTTACCCTGAAGAAAACTCAACAACTTGAGAAGTGTAAAACAGCTGGAATAAATACTTGAAATAAGATTGTTTAAGTAATAAAAGTGTTTCCAAATTAATCTTTATTACTGATGAAGTAAGAATTTATGAAGTAGTTGAAGTGAGCAGAAGGAAAACATGGTAATAATAGAGTAATGATACAATTAGAGCGGTCAAAATTAGAGCGGTCAAAATGGATTATAACCTACGGGCCAATTTAGTCCGCCACGGGGTTTGAATTGGGATGAATTTGAAAAAATTGTTCATGCGGGTTAAACCTGTGGTATGCCGGGTTGGCCCACCAACCTACCTACCTAATTTTATTTTATTAAAATTTAATTTTAATTTTATAAAAAAATATTTATTATTTTGTTTTTGTTTGAAAAAATTATTTAAGTTCCTTATTTTCAAAATTAATTAAACACCATTGGGAGTAAAATTTGGAAGTGAAATTTGTTTAAATTTAAATTATAAAAATTTGTAATTTTTTTTATTTAAAAAAAATTGTAATTATGTGAGCCACAGTGAGTCAACCCGTTTACCCACTAACCCGTGGTGGGTTAGGCCGGGTTCGAATTTTTTTAACTTACTAATAAATGAGTCGGGTTAGGTTGGCTCACTAAGTGACCAACCCGTGATGGACCGGGTCGAGTCGAGTCGGGTGGCTCGTTTTGACAGCTCTAGATACAATCACACATATTTACATTCATTTAACACAAGTAAAATGATTATAAAAAGATATTGTTTGACACACCTAAATTTGTTATTTGACCCTATCCTTGTTTAGTTTTTTTAGAAAAAATATAAAAGTGCATGCTTTTATGATTATTTTATCTTTGTATTTTATGTCAAATGAATATAAAAGTGTGTCATGATATTATTCTTTTATGAAAAATTGACTTTTCATGGCTTTTCGAAAAGGAAAAAAAAATAGTATCAAATTAATGTAAAAAATCATGTATGTCAAAAAAATTATTTTTGTAACTATTATAATATATTAACAACTTTTTTAACAATTTTTTTAACAATTATTTTACAACTTTTTTAACAATTTTTTTACAATAGATTGTGTTACTATTTTATTAACAAGTATATTCGAAAGCGACATCCACGCACCATTTTAAAAAACTTCTAAAATAAAATATTTCTAAAAATCATTTTCATTCTCTTAATAATAATGTGGTGATAAAAGGTAGATTGAAGCCTAGAAGAGTGACACGTGGCAGATAAGGTTGCATGTGATTTCACGTCATTTCATTGATTTATGTATCAGAGAGAAGAAGAAGAGAAAGAAGAAGAAGGAAAGAAGCAGCAAGATCAGCAAGAAGAGATATTTATAAGTTTGAACAGAAAGAGGAGAATGGCAGCTCTGTGTGGCCCTGCGTTGAACAGCTCCTTCCTGAGGAAGCAAGTAGTGAACACGTCAAGCATGAAGGCATTCGAAAACGCCAACGCCGTGTTTGGTGTGAAAGAAGGACGAGGTGGTCGTGTGACTGCCATGGCCACTTACAAGGTGAAGCTGATCACCCCCTCGGGAGAGAAAGAGATAAAATGCTCAGATGAAGAATACATTCTTGATGCTGCAGAAGAACAAGGCCTTGACCTTCCCTATTCATGCAGGGCTGGTGCCTGTTCTTCCTGTGCTGGAAAAATTGTGTCTGGCAAAGTGGACCAGACAGACAATAGCTTCCTTGATGACGACCAACTTGAAGCAGGATTTGTTCTCACCTGTATTGCTTACCCGACCTCTGACGTTGTTATCCTCACCAACAAGGAGGATGACCTCGTTGCTTTTTAAATCTTTTTTTCTTTCAGATCTCATCTGCTATTGTTGAATCAGGTCAATCTTGTTGCTTTTCTTGCTGCTTCTGTTATCAACTCTCATGTTTTTGCTTCTTGTATGAATTATTAAGCTTCAAACTATATTTGATGATATTTTTTTTATAATGATCCTTTAAATACTACGTCCTTTTATAACATTTTAACATTATCTATTTTTTTATATGAAGAATGAAATCAGTAGCAATTACTATTGAGAACCATTGCAATAAAAAAAAAATCTTCTAACAAAAACATACCCCAATAACAACAAAAATAATATTTTCTAACAAAAACATACCTATCAACGACAAACAAAATCATAATATAAATTTAATGTAGTACATTTTCTTTTGAGAATAAAGAAAAACATCTCATCCAAATTTTCTAAATAGAATTGTAAATTCTTCCCATATATTTTTAAATAAAATTATAAACTCTCAAATGATACCTAACTAATGAGTTCCTTATACATCTTTGAAATTAATTGAATTCTGATAATATTTTTCAAATTAACTCTTTGTTGTTTCTTTTTTCGCATTATTCAATACGAAAGATTTTGAGTAAATTTTATAATATTAAACAAAATCCAAAGGAGAACAACACTTGTGATAAAGAATAAAAAATGGCATGACAATGTTTTTTTCTATATATGAAATGAAGCTTAGATCAATAGAAAAAAAAATTTGTTAAGTTAATAAATTATGAGTATGTAATTCAAAATGACAACTATGAAAATAATAAAAATAAATATATATCACGTTACGAGACAAAAACAACATAAATATATACATGTCTCCATCCTCATCTTTAATTTAAAAAGCCAACTATTATCCATATTCAATAATGTAAAAATTTCTTATAAAATAAGCACAAATAGAACAAATCTATTTATCATTTCAAAATACATACTTAGTTTTAATTTGAGTTAAAGTTTAAATTGTGCTTTCAATAAATATTATAAAATTAAGTCATCCTTATTAATAACTACTAACAGAAAAAAAAAACTCAAATTACTAGAATACATACATTTTTGTAAATAACATACAGCACAGTAAACACCATTCATTGACAAGGATAATTTTGTAAACAACAAATAAATTAAAAAAAGAGAGTTCAATTTACAATGAATCCATGAAAAAAGTTAGCACAATTAAGGCAGTGGACGAGCATAAACCATACTCAGATTCCATATATAAAGTTTTATATACTTACCCAAAAAAGGAAAATAATAAGATATAACGAGGCATAAAATGTTGCCACGTGGCAGATAGGGTTGTGTGTGGCCTCACCTCATGTACAGTATAAGCACACTATTTCTGTAAGGTGAAGGTCAGAATTCTTATCCTTCAGCAAGAAGAAGAAGAAGAAGACGACGACGACGCTAGCAGCATTGAAGAATGGCGTCGATGACACCCGCTTTCTGTGGCCCTGTCTTGAACACTTCCTTCCTCAGGAAGCAACCACTGAACATGGCAAGCATGAAGGCTTTCCAAAACGCTAACGCCGTGTTCGGTGTGGAAGGAGGACGTGGAGGTCGTGTGACCGCCATGGCCGCTTACAAGGTGAAGCTGATCACCCCAGAGGGAGAGAAAGAGTTCGAATGCCCGGATGATGAATACATTCTCGATGCTGCAGAGAACCTAGGCCTTGACCTTCCCTACTCATGCCGGGCTGGTTCTTGTTCTTCCTGTGCCGGCAAAGTTGTGGCCGGCAAAGTCGACCAGTCAGACGGTAACTTCCTTGATGACGACCAAATTGGTGAAGGCTTTGTTCTCACCTGCGTCGCTTACCCAACCTCCGATCTTGTTATCGAAACCCACAAGGAGGAAGACCTCGTTGCTTAAATCTTATCATCATCGTTGCCTCTACTTTATAAAGTTTCTTCCTTTCCCAGCCCCATCGTCTTTTTCCCTTTATTCTGTGCCATTTTCTCAGGATATATACGTATATTATGCTTATTTATGAACAACTTGTTTTGCATTAATTCGTTAATTGCTTCACCTGTACGTAGTAGCAGCTCAAGTTCATTGCTTTCTCACTGTTGTTGCCCACCTGATTGAATGACAACTCGATTGTTACGGTAGATGATGATGTTAGTGCGGAGGATTAGAGTTCCGAATTGTGTGGTTATCTTCTTATCGCTTAGAAGAGACTTGATATATATATATATATATATATATATATATATATATA